CAAAGATAATTCTACTAAGTCTTTGGAATCCATTGTGTACTTTTATATACCATATCTTATTTTGGACTAACTATGTTGCTGGTGCCAAGCAACTCTGTCTGGTGGCTCCTATATTGCACAGTACTGCTATAGAATATTTTATTCGTACTGTTGCTTTGGGACACATCTGTCTTTCCTAGAGTTCTCACTGATAGTCTGCTTTCAGGCCGATTTTGCCCAGTAACTGTCTTTTGTACTGCGTATGACTTTCATGGCATGCTGGCTGCTGCTCTCTTACTATCATTTACTTTATTTACCTTTTATCTCATATGCACCTTGGGTAGGCGTAGGTAAAGGTCAACATGCTGAGCTGCTTAACAAAAAGGTTGGAGATTTAAATCCAATTAGAAGTACTTTGAAAGAAATGCCTGGTAATCTAGTTCCAAAAAAAATCAGCCATTGAGAGCCTGTGGAACATAGTTCTACACTTACACACATGAGGTAGCCATGAGTTGGAGATGATTTTCAGCAACTGACTGACTGGTTATCTCATTTAGAATCTCTTTTCATTGTTTTGTCATTTCCCCCTTTATTTAAGTCATTTTAAATTGATAAATACTGGACTGTTAGCCACAAGTTTGGCAGTTCAAAGCCACCAACCACTTCTTGGAAACTATACAGGGTTGGGACTAAATTGACGGCACTTAAGAACAAGAACAACAATGGTTTGTATGGGAAACAATGAATGTTTCCTGGTTTGGTCTCATATATTTGGTTATTTTAGGGAGTCCTTTGTATGGTGCTGTTAGGAGAAGTGCTTTATTGCTATCCGCAAAGTTGGCAGTTCAAACTCACCAGCTGCTTCTTAGAAACCATATACAGTGTCGCTATGAATGTAAACTACTTGGCGGCACTTAGAACAACAACGCACATTGTTTAGTGACATTAGCTACATTTTTTATGTAGCTAATGTGTTAACATTTTCTTTAATTGTATTCTGTTTGTTCTATTTCCATTGGAGGTATGCATTGCATTACTTAAATGTTTGGGCAACGTCTGACAGTGTGTAAGTCTGGTCTCATAAAGTGTTTGTTTTTGTTTTTTAAAAGAAAACAGTTCTTTGTTAATTTATTATTTCCCCCATATGGTTTTATTACAGTGCCAACCCACAATGTTAAAACTTTTAGCAAAAAAATAACAAAAGGCGAGCTACTTTCCCTTTTAAAACGACTAAACAAAGAATGAACTGAAGCATAGCAAGGATTGTGAGGCTGGCAGTGTTTGGTTTGTTTGTAAGGTTGCTTTGAGTTGGAACCAAATGGATGACTCCAGGCCCCCCAGAGCAAATGAGCATCAGGGCTGCAGGGTGCATCCCAGTCCCTGAAGCAATGCTTCGTCTGCTCCTTTTCCTTCTGGCTTTCATTCAAACACCGTCCAGCCTGTGCAGCCTTTCACAGAATGTATTGTGGCTATGAAGTGACACATACTGGCACTTTTATCTAGTTTCCCTGACCCCTTATCTTCTCATCGTTTGTTGTTGCTGTTGTTAAGTGCTGTTGAGGCAATTCTAACCCATAGCGACCATGTTTAGGGTTTCCGAGGAACAGTTGGTGAGCTTGAATTGCCGACTTTTCAGTCTAGTCCAACTTTGCAGCCTAGCGCATTAACCCACAGTGCCACACCAGGATTCCATCTTAACTCTAATAATGGTCTCATATAACTAGTTTTTTAATGGAGCACTTTACTCACAGGTAATACCATTTATTTTGTGTGTGAATCTTTGTTATTTCACTGAAAAGTCACCTTAGGATAGTTTTGGCTCAAGGTTTAAAGAGTATCTCAGATCTGTGGTCTCAGGGAATCCTCTAGTCTCAATCAGTCCCCTAAGTCTGGTCCTTTTAAGAATTTGAATTCTGTCTATGTTTTTCTCCCTTTCTATGGAGTCCTAAGGAGCTCTGGTAGCGTAGTGGTTACGAATCGGGCTGTGAACCGCAAGGTCAGCAGTTTGAAACTGCCAGCTGTTCCGTGGAAGAAAGATGAGGCATTCTGCTCCTGTAAAGATTTACAGCCTCGGAAAACGCTGTACAGGGTTGCTATGAGTCAGAACCAACTCCATGGCACATTAACAACAACAACAACAACATGGTGTCCTGGTCTGGCTATGTGTAGGATAAGCACTGGACTGCTAACTGCAAGGTTGGTGGTTCACACTCACCAGCAGCTCCTGTATAGGTTGACTGTGAGTCAGAACTGACTTAATGGCACTAAACAGGATTAACAACATCAGGATCTATCTGCTTTTTCCTGAACAGAACGGACAGTAGTGGTAATTGGGCACCATCTAGTTTTGGTATAGAGTAGGTGAGGTTGTGAGTCATGTAAGCTATTCACGCTGTAGATTAGAATTTTTCTCTGAGACTTTGAATTTTTTCTCTTTTGCTCCTTATAAGACCAATAGTTGTATCCTCTCTTTGACCTTAACAACTCTAGTGTGTGTTTCCTAAAAGCAAACACATATTCTTAAATACTCATAATTGTTAAAATTGAGACTGCAGTACACTATCACACCATCAGATGTTTTTTAAAGTTGATCAGTTCTCCCATTAATGTATTTTTCTGGGATATGATCCATTACAGGGTCAGATGTTACATTTAGTTGTTGTCTCTTAGGATCCTTTCATCTCAGTCTTTTATCTTTTATGATATAGACTTTATGTGGGATGCATTTCATTTTGAATTTGACTGGTGCTTTCCTATGGTGAGATTCAGATTGGCAGGCATGCCATAAATGCCATACGTCAGTGCATCCTCAGTAGTCACGTGATAACAATTTGTCCCACTATTTGGTGATACTTTGATCATTAAAGTGGTGCATTGTCAGTTTTTCCACTGTAAAGTTACTGCTTTTCCCATTTTAATTAATACATATCTTAGTAGGGAGGTACCTTTATCAGGTCTTTGCACTGCTTCAGACCACTTCAGTCATGGCTAACAAAGCAGAACAGACCCAGATTCTTAACATTTGGGTGACAGAAGGACAATTGGGATGGGGAAGCTCTACAATGGGAGCCTCAGAAGAGGTGTAGTGAGCCCGTTCATGAGCCTCATGAAGGAGTTTGGGATATTGGCAGGACTGTGGAAAGCGACACACTGCTAGAGCAGCGTATACTGCTGTTTCTGGCTCTGCTTAAAATCCTATAAGCAAGAGATTTGGTTACTATGCAATGTGTATGCTACCCTAGTATTTTAAAAAGGAGATATAAGTTTTTGGTGGGGATTTGACCCATAAATTTCCCCCTTTTCAGTTACCATTCTGGTTCACCCAGATTTTTAAAATTCTGGTTTGTTCCAGTTTTGTTTCCTCCACCGTGTCTGAACCAGGAAGAACTGGCTTGAAACCATGTTAAAACTCACTGTCATCGTACTTTCATACCAATTTTAGTATCCAATAATAATTCTTGCCTGAAGCAATTATTACTGTGGTACTTGCCAGATGGTAACTATATCTACCCTTCTGTCTGCATTGATTTGGAATTAGTACTATAAAGATATTTCCCTTTCTGCTCCTTCTACTTACTTAGTCATTCATTTATTTATTTATATCAGTTTGGAACTGTAAATTCTTACTATGTTATCTGGGTTAGTCCATTATTTTCTTTCTCAGAGTGTTCCCAATTTTGTCTCTTGGAACCCCCTCAAGCTTTTTGATGTGTCCCTGTAATGTTCCAGGCTCACTTTATACTTTTTCCTGCTTCAAACTGGAATCACTCATTTCTCCAAGCCCTGACTTTTTTTTTTTGGACAGTGCTGTTTAGGAGCCCTTGAAGCATAGTGGGTTACAAATTGGGCTGCTAACTGCAAGGAAAGCAATTTGAATCTACCAGTCACTCTATGAGAGAAAGATGAGACTTTCTGCTCCTGTAAAGATTTACAGCCTAGGGTTGCTTATGAGTCTGAACTAACTCTACGGCACACCACCATTGTAACTACCATTTAGAAGCTAAGATTTTAGTGCCAGGTTACATTTTTAATTGCTTGTGTATTTTGTATTTTATATGACTATTTCTATCAGATGTATATTGTTTCTTGGAGACCCTAGTTGGTACTAACAGTTAGTACTCATCTATTAACTGAAAGTTTGGTGACTTAAACCTACCCAAAGGCCTGGGATCTGCTTCAGAAAGGTCACAGTCATTGAAAACTCTCTGGAGTGCAGTTCTACTCGTCAGCACATGGGATCACCATGAATCAGAAACGATTCCATGGCAGCTTGTTTTATGCTGTGTCTTGCTGAATATTGTTTGTTTACATTTGAATATATTTTTTACCCACTTTTTTAGTATAACTGTAGGTAGTTATTAGTGTTAAAGAGATCACTAACTTAAGTTAGCCATGGAATGATAAACATTTCTAGGCACTTATCTAGAGTAGGTGTGGTGCTGTAGGATCAGTTATGGACTGTGAACCACAAGGTGGGCAGTTCAAACCCATCAGCTGCTCTTCAGAAAACCTGTACAGGTTTGCTATGAGTTGGAACCGTTGTTAACGACAACAACATCTAGAGTAGGAGTCCTGGTGTGGTGCTGTAGGATAAAGCACTGGACTGCAAGGTCGGTTTGAATCACACACCAGCAGTCACTTGGAAACCCTACACAGGATCGCTATGAGTCAGAACTGACTCAGCATGCTAATTTCCTGGTTATAATGATTGCACTCTGGCTATATAGGGAACTCTCTTGGTTTTGGAGTGTTGGTGTGGTGCTGTGGGATAAGCACCAAACTGTAAACTACAAGGTCAGTTCAAACCCAGCAGCTGCTCCTGGGAATCCCTGTACAGAGTGGCTGTGAGTAAGAACTGACTTGACAGCACTTAACCAAACAACCCTTGTTTTGGGGAAGTTGACAGTGAAATATTAGAAGTAATAGGACTTTCAAATGGTTTTGAAGAAAAAAATATGCGTGTTGATGTATGTATGTAGAGACAGAGTTATAAGATGGGGTTGAATGCAAAACGAAATCACAATGAGATATGCCATTCCACTCCCACTAAGATAGTTAATAAGGAGCTCTGGTAGCGTAGTGAAAGTTGGGCTGCTAACCTCAAGGTCAGCAAGCCGTTCGAAACTACCAGCTGTTCCATGGGAGAAAAATGAGGCTTTCTGCTCCCGTAAAGATTTACAGCCTTGGAAACCCTAAGGAGGGTCTCTGAGTCAGAACTAACTCCACAGCACACTGCTACAAGAAAGAAAAGGAGTCCTAGTGTGGCGCTGTAACGCAAGTGCTGCACTGCTAACCTCAAGGTTGGTGGTTCAAACCTACTAGCTGCTCCTCAGAAACCCTATACAGTGTTGTTGAGTCAGATCTGACTCTACAGAACTTAACAGAAAGGAAAAGGTTGTGAAACCAATTGTTTCTAACAGGAAAAAAAAAAAAAATACAGCATTGCATTTACTGGGATCCTTTCTGGTGTTCATTTTAGAAAATTAATTGGTGTACAGTCTGAATGTTAGACCATTTATTTAGCTGACCCTAAGGTGCTTTTGACTTCTAAATTACTTTAATTTGCACTTACTATCTTTTAGTAAATGAAGACCTAAGACAACCAAACAATTTGAGACAGGTTTTAAGTTTGTATTTAAGGCGTTTTCTGTACGCATTCTGTGAGTTTTACAATGAATTTTACCCAAAGAATGATTTTTGTCCTTTCTGAAACCTTGGAATTTCCCCAGTGATTGAAGTTTTTCCTATCTACGCATGGCTCCCGGCCACACCTGAGAGTTTATACTAATGAGGTGTTTCTTGCCAGACCAGAAAGACCTACCATGTGATTGATATTGACCCAACAATGGGGACCAGAGGATGGCTATGGAGCTAAACCATGTGGGCGATAATCCGATCTGTCAGGTCTACTTAATAAGATCCCCAATAAAAGCTCTGGATACTGAAAATCTGTCGCTTCCTGTCTGGTGGAGGACATGGTTCTAGGAGGGTAATGTGTCCCTCTTTTGGGACATGGAAGCTCTGTGTAGGGAACCTGCCCAGGCCTTTCTCTGTGTATCTCTTTATTCTTATTAAAGTAAAGCTGTAATTGTTTGAATATAGATTTCCTGAGTTATTCTAGGAATGTGATGAGCCTGAGGAGGGTAATGGGAATCCATGAATTTTGTAGCCAGCAGGTCAGAAATTATGATCCCTGGGGCTCCCCATTTAATGACTGACTTCCTGAAGAGGTAGGGGGAACCCTGAATTTGTACCCAGCCGGTCTGAAGTGAAGGAATCCTGAAGACCTTTGAGCTTCAGACTGGCGTCCTAAAGGGGTTTTATTGCCCTCAAGTCAGTTCAGACTCATAGTGACCTGACCCTGTGTAGGGTTTTCAGGAGTAACTGGTGGGTTTGAACAGCCAACTTTGTGGTTAGCAGTCCTCTGCTTATCCTGTAGCACCACACCAGGAACCATGAATTTGTTGTCAGAAGGCAGGGTGTTGTAGGGACCCCAAGTTTATGATTACTCTATGAAGTTGGCAGACTTGACCGTCTGAAAGACTGCCTTTTTACTTGTGAGAACTGGCCTAGTTCTAGTGGTTGGGGTCAGAGAAAGAAGGTATTGCATTTGTAGTCGGTGGCCAGAGCAGAATTGGGTTGATTCTTTTCTAAGTGCTGAGACCACACTAGTAATTGGGCCACTACTAATTTTAATCTGGTTTCATCTGGTATTGTTTAAAATCCTTAAGAAAGATTTGTTGCTGTTAGCTGTCATACACTTGGCCTCTGACTCGGGGCTACTCTAGGCTTCGAAGGAAGGCTTAAGTAAACTACTGTAATGTAATGTGTAAGATTACAACAATCATGTTTTACCACTTGAATAATGAAGATTTTGCTTTATGTTTTTTTTTTTAGTGAAGGGATGTTTTATCTTTTTCTCCATCTCTTTACTTTAACTCACAGTTATAGTTAGATATTTTTGGAAGTGGAGGGGATTACCGATTCATTTATTGCCTGCTCTGTGTGATGAGTCCTAGTAGAAACACAGTGTTACCTGTAACAGACAGATGTAAGTTGTTGATGACCGCTGCAAAGTGAGAAGGAAGAAAGTGCGATTTCTCATTAGCTTAGAGGAACATGTTGACTATACTTGGGTTTGAGATTCTTAATAGCATGAAAATGACAGTATAAGGGGATGAGGGTATCGGTTTTAATTTCTTCATTTTATTTCTCTTGGGGGGAAAAAACACACAAATGTGTACTGTGTTTGGAGTTAGTACTTAACCTCAGTTTACTGAGAGTATAGGTCTCCTTTATTAGTTATGAAATCTTGGACAATTAGATTTTCTGTTAAATTCTAGACATGATTGTATTTAAGCAGATAGAAGAAAATGATTTTAAAATTTTGTTAATAATTGTTATTTTCTGTTTTATTTAATAGGTATCAGCAGATGTTGCATACAAACTTGGTCTACCTTGCTACAATAGCAGATTCTAATCAAAACATGCAGTCTCTTTTACCAGCAGTAAGTATTTTTGAAATAGTGTGAAGCTGTCAACATTTATAGAGTTATATTGTATGGAATAACACATTTTTTATTTAGAGGTTTTTGACTTTTGTGTAGTATATCTTCTCTACTCTTCCATATGCAGGTTTTTTTTCCTATATTACCTCCTTATTTAATTTGAATTAATTCACCAAGAATTGATTTCCTCCCTGAAGACGTTAAATCCATCCATTCACTCATTAACCCACCTACCTACCTATTTATGAACTTTTGTTTTTTGATTGTGTAAGTAATTCAAAGCCAATCCCCAACATCATCTGATTTCACTGGTAAAAGTTTCACCATGTATCTCTAGCAGGTAGGACTATATAATTTACCCTCATCACAGTACTGTGATTCTCCCTGACAACATTTACCATGATTTCTTAATATTTAATAACAACCAATTGATTTTTAATTTTCTTTGATTTTATAAAAATACAAAAGCATTTTAATTGCCTAAGGATCCAGGCAAGGTCTTTGTATTGCATTGATTGATGGTTGTCTTTAATCTCATTTAATCTTTATCTAATTTTCCATTTTTTTTGAAGAAACTGGGTCATGTTTTTATAGACTTCCTCACATTCTGCATTTGTTGGTTGTATCCTCATGATCACTTAATGTGTTTTTCCATCTCTTTTATTTTCTGTAGACTGATAACTTGAGAGGCTTGATCAAAGTTCGTTTTAATTATTTTGTCAAGAGTATTTTGTTAGTGGTGCTGTACATTTCCTATAGTAGGAGGGACTTGCTTAGTTCTGTTCTCAATGATGTTGCAACTGATCATTGGGTATAGGTGATTTCAGCCTGATTAATACATTATCAAGTTCCTCTTAATGATTTTAGCAGTTATTAGTGATTGTTGACTAGATCCACAGAGTTCTACTTTTACAATTCTTGCATTTATTAGTTGTAATTTGTTTAAGAAGAAAAATTTTTCTTTAATCAAATACTTGATTATCTTGAAATAGAATCCTTACTGGAAAGTCCAAATAAAGACTTGATTCTATCCCTTCCTTTTTTAAATTTTTCAGAATAACAAGTTGGTCTTTACAAACCTGCAAAGGTGACCAATCATTGTTGTATTTTTAACTATCATCTCAATTTACAGATGTTTATGTTTGATTTTTTAAAAATCCATTGCTGCCATCCTTTATGATGCTAAAATTGACTTATCTTAGGTCAGTGGGAGTCTCTTCATATGGCTTTTATGTCCTTTGACGTGATTTTAGAATTCTTTTTACAGCTTTCCTTTCAGGATTTGAGAGCGATAGCAGGCTCATTCTGTGTATTTTCCGCTCCAGATCAGAAATCAACCATTTTTCTAAGGGTTATATTTTTGTGGGAATTGGTATTATGAGACCACAGTTTGGGTGTTTGGCACATTTATTATTACTGGATTTTCATTGTTTCTAGGCCTTTCATTGGACAAAACTAATAAACTTTTTTTTTTAGAAATAAAATAATTGAATTTTTAGTGATATTGCCATTGCAAATGAAACATTAAAGGGTGCTTACTTAACTTGGATTTTTAAAATCTTACTTTCTCTCTTTTTTTAAGTTTTTATTGTGAATTGAGTCATAGTTTATATGGAAGAACATCAGCTTTACACTCATCGCATTTCGTTTCATTGCAATGATTACAATCCACTCCATGCATCATCATTCAACAGTATTTGCTTCTATTCCATCTTTTCTTTTTTTTCCTGAATGTACACTGAAGCATTCAGAAATACATAATCATTCAAACAACCACAGAGCATACCTTTCAAGCCTGCCCCCTGGCCGCCAGCACACAGCCCCTCTCCCTCCATGAGTCTAGAATCCCCAGCCGCTCTATCTCTACACATCATCTCTGCCTCCGTCTCTGGCATCGCTGCTTCTTTGGTTAGGGTCCCACACCGCTCTTCTCCCTTGATGGTCCCAGGCTCTTCTGTTCCTGGACTGCAAGATCAACCACTTATTCTTACAGAACGTCTACCTTTACATTTACAACAATCGCAATCAGTCCTGATAACAATTATTTACTATTGAACCACAATAGTCTTTTCCGCATCTCCTTTCACTAGCCCCATCTAGACAGGTTGGAAACCACTCACTGTTGATTCTACCTTCCCCTGCATCCTCTGAAACTAAACTCCCTCATGAAAACGTGTAAGCCAGTCACTTTGTGCCTTTGTAGCCCCTAATTTAGGTAGCCAGTATCAAAGTTGCCAGTCCCTGTCAACCCTGTGTATAGAGGAGATGGGAATGATCCTTGCTGTGAAGATTCCTTCCCTCTTTTAAACTACTAAATCTGTAAGTATAGGTCAAGTTCATCAAATTTTAGTGGATTACAGTTTTTTTCCTCTTCTTTCTTCTTCTAGTTGAGTTCTGATCGTTCAGCTATGGAAGCTAGGTCAAATGGGTACTATATGCAAGTATGGGCGTTCTTGTGCATTTCCCCTCACTTCACATCAGCTGGATGCTTCACTCTCCGCTCTAGCCCTCTATGGCTGTGTACCTGTCCATGGGCTCAGGAGTCCTCAGGTCTCACCATACTGCTGGCCAACCATGTCTCACTTCAGGTTGACAGGAGTCTATTGAATGTGGTCAGACTCAGCCCACATCTTCATCGCTGCTTTTCCCCCACGTCCCCTTATCGGTAGACCAGTGTGGTCGCCAGCAAGATTACGTGCCTGTTCATGTATTCCCTTTGAGTTTTCACTCTTGGAAGGGGATTTATGTTAGTATCTCCGTTTTCTTGGTCTAAAAATCATATCATAGTTCCTTAATGACATTTCTGTATGCGGTTATTTGCTTTATTGTTGTTAAGTGCCATTGAATAAGTTTAAACTCATTGTGACCCCTTGTAGGGTTTTCAGGGAGTGACTGGTGAGTTTGAACTTGACAACATTTTGGTTCAAACCGACCTGGCTGTCCAGTACTTTACCCTACAGTATTACACCAGGACTTTTCTTACTTGTTTTTAATATTGGTATCGTTATAGCAGAATGCTTTCTTATGTACATAGTGTAGTGTACGTTTGCTTTATGCTATTATGTACATAAGAAAGCATTCTTCTATAGCAATTCCAATATTAAAGAACACTTGCCATTGTATTTGACCCCATGTATTTGTCAGAGTCGAACTGTGCTCCATAGGGTTTTCAGTGACTAAGTTTTAGTAAGTAGATTGCTAGGCCTGTTTTTCAAGGTACCTCTGGGTGGACTTTGAACCTCCAGTGTTTTTGGTTAGCAGTTGAGTGCATTTACTGTTTGCTGTCAATAAAGATATTGATAATCAATATCAATAAAGATATTGATTATGTCGAGATACATAATCAATAAAGAGTTTTAAATTTGAAGTAATTCTTTTTTATGTGCTTGTTGAGTTTGATTATCAATAGTACTTCTTATTATGTGCCATTGAGTTGTTTCAAACCTCAGTGGAGCAGGTCACCAGATATTGTTTTTTTTTTTTTTTCCTGCAGAGACACTGATGGGTCTCTGCTAGCAATTTGTCAGTAACCAAACACTTACCAGTTGGGTTGGACTTACTTTTTGTGACTGGTGTGAGATATAAGCTCAATTTCATATGACTCCATAGTTAACTTGATCTCATTTCAGCATTATTTTTTGGAAAAGCAAGACAAAACATCCTTTCTCTTGAATCCATGTGACGAGATCTCATTCTAGCATAATTTATTGGAAAAGCAAGACAAGGAACATCCGTTCTCTATTTTGCCTTGACATCTGTGTTACGTATCAAATGTCCCTACATGTATGGATCTGTGTTGGGTCTGTTCTGTTCAGTGGTTTTTTAAAAAATAAATTCCACAATCTTGTCACATTTTTTATAATCTAATAAGTCGATGTATTTTTGAGAAGTTTCTTATTTTTTCCACCAAGAATATCTTGGCTTAACAGTCCTTTGCATTTCCATATATACTTGCATACCTTAAACACCAGCAAGTCAATTTATACACACATACAGGTTATCCTGTTTTTTATTTATTTTTTTCTCATTGATATTACCTTAACTAAATCTAAATCAGTTTGGAGAGAGTTGATTGGTATCTTTACTATGTTGAGTCTTCCAAATGATCATTGCATGTTTTCTCATTTATTTAGTTTTTAGTGTCTGTCAGTAAAGTTTTATGATTTTTCTCATCAGAGGATTTACACAACTACCATTGGATGTATTGTTAATAGGTATTTTGTATTTTTTTAAGCCATTGTAATTGGACTCTTAGTTAAGTTTCATTTTTTAACTGCTATTGCTGTTAATGTGGAAATGCAATTGATTTTTAAATCTTACAGTTTTTCTGTGGATACTTTCAGTTTTCTATACTCATGATCATATCATTTGTGAATAAAGAGTTTTGTTTCTTTCTTGCCAATCCTTACACCTTTTATTTCTTTCTCTTGCCTTACTTCTCTGGCTAGGACCTCCAGTACAGTCCTGAATAGAAGTGGTGATAGAGGACATCCTTGTCTTGTTCCTGATCTCAAAGAGAAAGCTTTCAGTGTTTGACCATTAAGTATGATGCTTGTTGTAGTTTTTTGTAGACACCTTTTTTAAAAATCAGATTGAGGAAATTCCCTTCTTTTTTGGTGTGCTAATAGATGTTAAATTTTATCACATAGTTTTGTTCAATCTAATGCGATGGTACTATATTTCATTTTTAACTTGTTAATGTTATTTTCATTGGTTTGCTTTTTAATTCTCAGCCAGCTTTGCATTCTTGTAATTAACTCATTTGGTCAGTCATGGTGTTTTAAAAATATTGCCGTATTCAATTTGTTAATATTTTGTTAAGAATTTTTGCATATTTGTTCATGAATGTGAATGACCCCTAATTTTCCTTTCTTATAATGCCTTTCTTTGTCTAGTTTTTATTTTCAGTCTGTGCTGGCTTCATAAAATGTTCTGGAGGTTTTTCCACTTTTTTCTTATGTGGCAGAATTTGCATGCTATTTGTATAGCTGTTACTGCTT